GCCACAGGTTTAGCCAGTGGTCTTGGGAAAGTCATGCAACCTGAACCTCCTGGGGTTTTTACCCAGTAGACTTCAAGATAAATTACAAAATCAAGAGACACCCCCCCATCCATTGATCTCTGCCTTTCTGCCCTCATAAATCCAGCATTTCTTGTTCCACTGAGACAGAGCTTAGAGAAGATTGAGGAGCTCTGGTTTGTCTAACATCACAACTGGATGAGCTTGGGCTCTTCTCTAGGTGGACCGTGTAGATTTTGAACTCCTGTCGGGATGGGTGTCTCATTCAGCCCAGGCATCTCATTTCCTGACTCAGTGTGTTAGAATGAGTAAGATCCGTGTAGAAAAAGATGACCAGTTTCCCACTGGATCAGGAGTCTGATTTGATGTGAAGCACCACACAGCCATACGTTTGTTAAATACAACCTGAGGAAGGGAGATAGAGCACAGCTGGAGGCAGCGCAGGGGACCAGGGCCTGTGACAGGCTGCAGTGCAGTCGTATCGAGTAAAACATAAAACCACAGCCCAAAGGCACGTGCAACATCTGGGAAACACCGAAATTTGAAAAGTTATGGCACTTGGCCCTGACGGTCATCCAGAGGATGACAAGTGTTGCTAGAAATCTTGCTATGGAGTGGACAGACCCAGATCTTCCCAGGGTTGGACACGGGACAAAACGGGTATGAACAGGCCGGCGGAGGCCGGCTGATGAGCGTTTGCTGTTTGCTTGTTTTCCCAGGAACCAGGAGAGGCCGGCTGACAGCCGACCAGCTCCCCTGCGTGGCAGCTGCCTGGCCAGCACCGATGGGCAGAGGGGGATTTTAACATGAAACACTTAGCTGAATATGGATAAAGCTCTAGAGGCACCATTTAAAGACAGGACCTGTCTGGCAGCGAAGCTTTTGGGTGGTCAGTGGGTTCGTGCTGTACAGGCAAGAGAGGACAACGGTGACCATCTGTTTGTTTATACAGTATTTATTTATCAATATCATAATAAAAATATCCCTATTTTATGTTTTATTTTTCAGAAATCAAAATCTCCCCATTTCCCCTTTATGCCAAAATATACTCTGGCAGCTCTTCTTTCACCTTCCCTAATAGATCTGTCATCTAAAAGCATCCAACAGCACTTCAACATCTATGTAACTTTTTTGCAGGCAAGTCTACTGGGAGAGGATGGCAGACAAAATGGCAACTCTGAAATCAAAAAACCTAGCACAAAAGCCTGCCTCAGTATTAGCCTCCAAATTGTTGTCTGGGAAGATTATTAATGAAGCAATTAAATAAAGTTGTCTTCATGTCAGGTGAGACTTGCAGTAATAACAAGCAGAGCTGATAATGAGTGAACCTAAGTGAATGTTGAAGACATATAATCCCATCAATGAGGCGTGACACAGTCCCAGAATGCAGTTATTATTTTACACACACTTCTCTATATGTTAACATGTAATATATAAATTATTAATACATATAACACATATATTAATGTGTGGACTTAGCCTGCATTCATACTGATGCTCTTTTTTTTTTAATGCTGACCTTGTTCCCAGAGAAAGCTTAAAAATATTGATAAGCACTCCTATATCTTTATCTAAAGCACTCCTTAAAACTAAAAATCCTGCATACTAACAATGGTTAGTCAAGTAATGATCCATCTTGGCTTTTTTTATTCCTTGGGCCTTGCTTCTCACCTGTTTCCTATTTTATCTAAGAGAAATGACACAAGCAGCATTTAATTAACAAACCATTGTGTTAATTGACTTTTAAGATAAATTGTGGTCCCAAGCTTTCTTTGGGGGCTTTGAGAGGCTCAGTTCTCGCAGGGTGGTCTCTTTCCTTGTAGGGATCCTCATTTGGGAGTTCCCTGATCCTGAGGCTATCAGCAGCAATCTCAAAACCCTCTCGTGCAGGTAAACGAGACAATGAAGTAACTCACGGTGTAGGGATTTTAAAACCAAGCTTCTTCACAGTGCTGTCAGCTTTATATTAAAAGAGCAGTAGTGTGCTGTTTATAACTAAAAGCTTTAATTTAAATGGGTCTTGATCACCCCTGTAGAAATAATGGGCTACATTTTCATTGGCTGGCAAAAACTGAGGATTTTTGTTCTTCTTCTTCTTTTGAAATTGGAATTTTTTTTTTTTAAGTTGACATGAAGCTTTCAGTTAATTGTAAGTCCAGATGTGTGCTTGTCCTTCTGCTTGTGGGTGCTCATCTGTCACAGTGCCTGGGCTGGGAAGGTGAGGCAAAACCAGATGTGCTTGGTCATACACCCACTTTATGCCATTGACTTGCAAAGTCAAGCACAACAAGAAGTCATAACCCCCTTTTACCTTCTGTCGTGCCCGTGGGACCAGACTGCAAAGCAATAAGCTCAGGAGGAAGGCTTAATTATAAAGCTGCCAGAAAAAAAACATTGCCGTTCGCATCACTATTTTCAGCAATAATGGAAGAAATGAAAATCCAGACTGAGGTTTGTCTCCCTTAAGATCCATTCTTTATATTTCACTGAGTTGTCCTGTTGAGTTTTGTGTTCAGTTGTCTCATTTACTGGGTGAAATAACACGCTCTCCCTTTTGCTGCTGCTTCTTCTGCCGAACCAAGGCAGACTGGAAAGATGCAGTGGCAACTGATCCTAGCGTGTATTTTAACTAATCTTCATAACTGTAACTTGTGTTTGGTCAGAAACCACCGAGACAGTAACAAAAAAAAATAATCCCTTTGGTGTTGTTTTATTTTGGGGGTGTGTGTGTGTTATGTTTTATTTTGGGGGGGGGGGCGGGCGTTATTGTGGTTTATAGTACAAGTGGCACTTTTCAATGTTTTTGAGTAAATACTCCTAGCAATTGCACACACTTATGGTGGGTTGCTTGGTAGCAGCAACAACAGGTTTACCACCAGGTTTTTGTTAGCTTGCCGGCTCGCAAAAGCCCAATTAATCTACGTCCTGAAGACGGGAAGTTTGCAAAGGTTAAACTGTGAGTACTGGAACAGGAAGGAAGCCACCTTCTCTGGCCTCAACCGCCAAGGTGGGCACCTCCACCCTGCAGAACCAACACAGCTCCCAGGGAGACAGAGGCCTTCCCACGGCAGGTAGGTGCTCCCGGAAAAAGCTTATAATTCTGGCTTGTTACTCACGTTATCGCAGCATCCCTGGGGGTGCGAGCAGCCTCCGCCCTGGCTTTAAACCCAGCTCTGTGGGGACAGGTAACCTTGGCCAGCTCATGTGTGTCCCCCCCGACCCCGTCAACCCCAAGCCCCTCAGCTGCCCGTGACCCCCCCCTACCCCAACCGCTGGGCTCCTGTCACCCACCAACCCTGCCTTGTCACCCTCATCGCACCTGGGTGTCCCCCCCCCCGCCACGCCGGGGCTCTTTGCCCGTTGCCTAGCGGTGCCGCCGTGCCCAGCGGCCTGTGCCGCCATGTTAGGACCAGCCTGCGGGAGGGAAGGGGACTCCCCTCACAGACCCTCCCCGGGCCCACGCAGCCGTTCTGGGCTGCCTGGAAAAAGCTGCCCTTTCTCCCCAAGGAAAGGCAGCAGCCTGCTTTTCACAACCTTCCTCATGAAAATTACAAAAAAAGACCTCATAGCACACACCCCCACACCCCCCCAGCCAGACCGTTTCTTGCTATTTTTCAGCGAGTTACATCAGCCCAAGGCCTGATGCGATGGAGGGGCACAAGACATGGCTGGGAGAAGGGGGTAAAGACCCCTTTTGCACAGTGGAGGGCAGCTAGCTTGGTGCTGATGCCCATAAAATGGCAGCCCGAGCTGTGCGAATTGCCTCAAGTCTGTCTGGAAGTCATTTTCTTGGAGCAATGGTACCGATAAGTGGGTTTTGGTGGTGCTGCCTCTCCTCCTCTCTCCCCCCAAACTGGAAATGAGCCTTAGAAACATCAAGATTTTAGTATCCTATTGTTTTTCTTTTAAAAATATTAATCTTCCTTGCTTGAACAGTTGTTTTGGTTTTGTTGGGGTTTTGTTGTTGTTGTTGTTGTGTTTTGTTTTTTTTTTTCATGTGTTGTATTCAAATATTGAATTTGTTTTGAAGTTGCCAGTTAGTATCAGTGTTAAGAAGTTGATGACGAGAATATCTATGAAAAAGTCTCGGCTAAGCATAATTTGAGGGTATCATAATTGTGGTTCTCCATCTTTAGTTTTGATTGAGTGCTCTTTAGAAGCTACAAGCTTTTTCTAGAACCTACCAAGTTCAAATTTTGAATTCATTAAGAGTGGGGGTTTTTTCCCTATCCTTTTCCAGATTTCCTTTTTACTCCCTTTTCTGGAGCCACATGTATGAGAAATAGCCTAAAAACATTACAGACATCAGGTATCATCTTCCATCACATTTTTTTTCTTCTGCAAGAGTTGTGTTATCCACTGTCAATACAAACTCTGTCTCCTTGGCTTTGAAGGTTAGTTGCTACGGCAAAGGCAGGGAGGCTTTTTTTTTTTTCCAGGCTTGAATTGACTTTTCTGTCCATTTTAGTAGGCCACAGACTAATCCCCATGTCAGTGTGATACAATAACATGACAAAAATTTGCTACAGACCTTAACTGTGTGTTCTTGTCCTGCTTCAGGTGAATTTTCTCTGCTTAGCTGGCAGCCACCTACGTGCTTACCAAGCATCCTTTCACCGTGGACAATTATTTGCTTTCCTGTCTTGTCAAGAGGATTGTGACCCACATAATAATAAATACCTGCACCTTAAAATAGTAACTAACTGTATAGAAAGGTGAGTCCATAGGCAACAAGTTGTGTGGGAGGTTATGCAGCGGGTTATGCAGCATTTATTTGCATTTTATTACTTTTATTTGAATATTTAAGGAAGACGTTTGTCGTATTTAATTTTCTGTTCTGTGTAACAAATTCAGTATACATGCATACCAGGTTGTTCCAAGGTTTAACCATAAGTATGACGTTATGTAAAACATTGCAATTTACTGATTTGTCATGACCCTTGACCATAAACACATATTAACTGAGGAACGTGCATGCACAAATGCATGGGAAGGTAATGCTCTAGGTCATTTGCCTCTTGCTTTATTTTTTGTCAAGCTACCATGGAATGGAAAATAAAATGCAAAGCCCAATGGAGTTTTAAAATAAAATGTCAGATTTTTTCAGAGTTTACAGGTTCATTCTTGCCTCTTGATATGTTTTCCTCTTCTGTTTGAAGGAACCAGACAACGTTATGGAATCTGCAGAAGAAGAGTTAATTCATTTTAATGTCGGTGGCTGGTATTTCTCAATTCTCAAAAGTAAAGTTGCTCAGTTTCCTGAATCTCTGTTGTGGAAAGAATCTTCTTTACAAGATCAGTCTGAAAATCTAAGATTATTTATTGACCAAGATGGTTTTGTATTTAGGCATCTTCATTACTACATGCAGACCTCAAAGTTATCTTTTTTCACCTGTGATGAATTGAATCTATTGTATGAGCAAGCATTAATTTTGCAGCTGACACCTTTATTACAGGTAAAGTGAGATATTCTATGTGGCTTTACCAGAATTTTTTTTTTTTCATTCTTAGATAATATTGTCTATAGAAGGATGTCAAAGAGTTTGTGTATATAACTTAATCAATGCTCATGATAGGTATCCAAACAAATAATTGCCACATCTGCCTTGGTTGGTGGGTACAGAAAATGTTGTAAATTTCATGCTTGACCTTTCTGTAAGAGCTTGTTCAACAGTCATTACTTGCTATTTTTTTTTTTTTTTTTAACTAAAGCTAAAGCAAGCAGAGGCTTTTATCTGCCAATTATTGTGCTTGATCACAACCAATACTGACTGATTTTGTCGCATATGAACCTTCTAATCTGAAGAAAGTGTTGCTCCCCCAGAAGGTTCAGTCTGCCTGAAAACGAGCTCACCCTAATGAGACACCACTGAATTCACTGTCATGTGAAATGGGGAAATGAAGATTCTTCCTCTCCTATTCTGTAGCTGCATAAACAGAAATGGTAAATGGAGATCTGTAATGAATATTTAATTTGGTATTTAGTATATAAATATATAAGTATTTTATACAAGTAATTTTAATTTTAATTACAGTGTAGTTTTTTATTGTGCCAGGTGAAGGCTGAGTACATATTTCCTGCCTAGATTAAATGTATATTTTTGTACATTATTATTTGCATTTCCTCTAAATTTAACCTAAACTCTGAGTTTCTTTTTGTTTCCAGTACTTTTTTTTTTGTGGAATTGTCTCAAAAACGCTATGATGTTTGATACTTTTAACCCAAAATATTAACATTTTGGGTTTAACGTGAACACTTTTGGATTTTCTTTTAGGACTGTGTTTAAAGATGTAACCTCTCCAAATAGGTTGGGAGAGGAAGACCACCAAACCTCAGTAGTCTATTGTATTAACAAACCGTACATGATCACATGTTTAACACGAACCAGTTGTGGTATGGCCAGGCATACATTCCGCCAAACTAGAGTTTTTGCATTTTGTGGCTTTTAAGTGCTTGTCAGTGTAACCTTATTAATTCATGAAGGTATTTTATACATGTGCTTTAGAAGTCATAACCGTGGCTCTAAAGTTACTTTATACTTAATATCCTATAACAGTATGTAACCTCTTGTTCCAAGCTGAAAATAATTTGTTTATCATTCAGTAAAATATTAGAAAATATAGACTGTTAATCATTCCTATCACTGAGACAAACATCAATTCCCCTTTCTAATAATTGAATTCCTACAGTTTATTGCAAAGATGTTATTAAAAAGAGCCCGAAGGGTCTTTCAGGTTCTGTGTTGTGCTCTTGGCTGTTTCTACTGTTGTATACTTTTACACATGCCAGTGTGCTGTCTTGAATTCCAGATCTAGAATATGATGATGTGCCATAAAAACTCAAATGTTGAAAAATAGTTGGCTTTTTTTGAATGTAAGAATGGCTCTAATTTTATTACAAGTTCTTATAAATACTCTCCACAAGTTCACTTCAGTTACCTTAAGGTACCTAAAACTTGGGAATCTAATATATGTTTGTTCTTGTCATCCTGGCATATTTTAGTTGAAGGGAATTACAGCGTAGCATGGCCTAGACTCTTTCCCATGGCTGCTTTTGATTTTTGAATTAATTATTTGAATTCAAATAGTTAATAGAAAAACTTTGTCTTGACAGATTTTAGATAATTTGAAGGAAGAGAAATATAATTTACATGTCCAGCCTGTAGATACACCAGTAGCTGAAAGACCATCTCTGAATTACTGGAGAGCACGAGAATGCACCAGCAAGCCATCAGAGATTCCTCCTAACAGTTCAGCATTCACAGGTAAGTGTCTCAAATGGACAAGTTCTTTCCCATCCTTCGGAATGTTCACAGACTGTTGTTAGTTGTTGCAAGCCAGGAATGTTTTCGAGTCTTGCAAAATTTATTTGTCGGGATTCTTTTTTTGGGGGGGGGGGAATTAGTCATCTTTATTTAAAAAATAGGAAACCCCATGCAAATGTTTATTCATTTGTGCTAGGCTGTAAGACTTCATCCTTCAGGGAACATTAATGTTGCACAAGATTAATACACCCTTATTGATCTTGCTGTATTAGTCAGTTCTCCAAAGTGTATACCTGAGTTCCATTTTGCTCTACTTTATGTCTTGATTTTTCTCTGATTTTATTTGACTAGGGTTGCATGAAAGAGCTCCCCTAGGGCTAGTGGATGCACCCTTACTAGATACAGAAGATGAAGTGAATTACTGTTTTTTGCCACTGGATTTGGTGGCAAAATATCCTGTACTAGTTAATGACGAGAATTTGCTGTGGCTGCTTGAGAATGCAGCCCTGATCAAGTGTGAGCACAGTGAGTTCCGCTTCATAGGTAACTTCTCTTTTTATCATTACTCTGACACTTCTAAATAATTTTTTATATTAAACTGCTTCTGTCTATCTCCAATAATACTTCTTTAAAGATCAGAATATTTTCATCTTCTGGGTTTGTTTGGTTTGGTTTTGCTGTCTACCAGTCTTACTGCCTTGTTTATCAGTCAACAAACAAAGCCTCTACTGAATGACTCCCAGAGTACACGTACCTAAATTTACCTACTTATGACCCTACTTATTTGGGTTTTATTAATCCAGTGGTTTTCTGAACTAAAATGCATTAATGACATCAGGTATCAGAACTGCTGTTAACAATCAGTAATTAAGGTAGTCAAAGCTTTAATGGTGACTTTAAATATCTACTCGATCTTGTATCTTTTCACCAGTAAAAAAAATCATGTTTCTTTCATTAAATAATCTTCCAGCTTCAAAAAAAAAAAGACAAGTAGTTTTGGAAAGTATGGCAGGATCACATACCTCCTCCATTAACACAGTATTTCATCCTCTGTGAACTCAGCTAAGATGAGGTAGATCTGGAATTGCTGCAGTTTTGCTCTGCCACTCCTCTGATGTTAACGTATGGGAAAACACATGTTTAAATGCACAGTGGGGTGGGACTGTTCTTGGGGGGGAGAAAAGCAGCCAAACAAACAGGAAACCTCTTCTGTGAATCTCTCTGGATGCTGTGATAAAACCGACCTAATTCTGCGCTTCCCCTGTTGTTTATGCTGTGTCTGGTATCCTCTAGCATAAACCTTGCTTTTAGTATTGTGTTTTCAAAGACAAAGTGTTCCCTCTTGTCCATTTATCTGCTGTGTATATGTATGTGAATAGAAATATTGAAGGAAATAACAACAGGTATTTCCTCGATCTGAGCACTGGACAGAAGACATCAACACACACTTCCTACGTTTTATTTTTATTTTCAAGTTAATTTTCTTCGCTCGGGGAAGATGTTGTTGCCTGATGACTTCTCCAACATAGATGCCTTGGAGGAAGAGGTTTTAATTCTGGGAATTCCTGAGCTTATAGATGCTGTGAAGACCTATAGAGGTAATAGAATGTACATAGCTATGTGTTTTCTTCCTTATACACACTGGTTTTAATGTTATCTTGTGAAACTGGGTGTCTGAAACAGGAAATATATTGGTATGATCAACACAGAGGCGAGCAGCCTTAGCAACTCGTTTCCATAAACGTTGCAAACAGTGGAAAATGGTTCAACCCCGCCGACCTTCTGGGGCGCAGTCTCGACCTCCTTTCCTTGCAGGCAGGCGCTCGGGGGGGCGGCGGGGGGCGGCAGCGCCCGGAGGGCCCCCGCCCCGGTCCCCGCTCTACGCCATGGCCCTGGGGCTGCTGGCCAGCTACCCCGATTCGGCTCTGGGACAGCTCTGCGTGGGCAGCGACCTGCGCAGGAGCCGCCTGCACCTCTCCGGCAACGGCATCCTCTTCCAGCACGCCAGGTACCCACCCTGCCCTCGCGCCAGCCAACATCCGTGTAACCTTTTAAAGAGCCCAAAGTTATCTCTGATAACTGAGTTTGAGGTTGAAAAGGAGCCCCGTTCTCAGCAGCTTGTCCTTTGGTATTCGTAGAATTAATTTTCAGCTCAACTTGCAGGTAGCTGTAATTACAGGAGCTGGCATTCTTGTATTTGATTGTCGGCTGTTAAGTCTAAAATGTCGAAGTAATATCTGTAAACTTTTTAATGTTACCGTGCTCTTAAAACTTAAAATTTACCATTAATTTTTTAAAGTTTGCATGAATTTTTCAAAAGCATCTAAACGCCCGTGGGTACAGGTTTTTCTGAAGTCACAGAAAAGCTGGGTCCGAGGAAGAATGTAGAATTCTGAATACTGTGTTTGAACTTGGTCCTTTGAGACATACTTCTCCATATTAGCACTATTGCTCAGACTTACCATATCAGTGTACTGCTTTAATAAAATCCCTGTTGTATAGGAAAATGGCTCCTTAGTGAATCATTCACCTGCTGCTTGTGATTTGAATTAAGAAAACCAAAAGAAATCACAATGAATCAGTGGGTTGTGATTCAAGCCTGACATGCAATGAGATGCTCAGCTGCACATATTTCCATAAATCACAGATTGACAAACTTCCTGCACCTTTTAACCAACTTTAAATCTAGCATAAGCACACAATACCCAGCCTGTAAAGGGTGATAGAAAGACAATAGGAAGATCAAACATAGAGTCAACTCATCTCTGCCCCTCACATCTTGTCTGCACTTGCTGTTGGCACTAGTGAATGATCCAGCATAGGAGAAATACAGTATTAAAAGCTTTATTCAAAATTATTGCAGATCATTATTTGATGGCTCCAGTGCAATAGCTTTATTTGCCGATGTTGGATTGCTCAGGGTTCTCAATAAAAAAAAACAATGTGAGAAGTTATGAGTAAAGCTCAGTAAGTGGAAAAAACATTTTTAGGAGAATTCATATTTCCTGACTTGTACTCATTAAAAATAAGCCATAAAAATATAAAACAAGGATAAAAAGTTTAGTGATTTCCTCTTCTTTTTGGATAGGAATTGGCTGGGAACTTGCCAACTTCCTCTCACCGAAAATATTTCTGAAATCAAAGAGCTCTGTGCTTATTTGGACCAAAGGGACACCACATACGAACCAATGAAAGATGCTTTAAAATGCTATCTGAAACAGCAGATGCCAGCAGAGAATGGATATTATGGTAAGTCAAGATTTCTCAAGAACTCTTTCATTTTAAAGTAGAATGAACAGTATTACCTGAATGCAATTAATCAGTCAATGATCTACATTGACTTTTGAGGGATTCTTACAGTACAAAAATACCCTGAAGGTGTCACTGACTGATAGTGCTTGTTTTCCCAAGATCTACTGCTGTCCTCTTGCTTTCCTAACTGGCTGTTGCCAATCAGCGAGCACTGGAGTAGTAACATCAGGTCCTAGGTGAAATATAGAGCAAGTCTACACTGGATTTAGGTAGTACTTTTCACGGTTTGGGATATTTTTACTTTCTAAACTTGCCAGTCTTACTCATCACTGAACTAATTCCCTGAATCCAGTTCCTTTGAACTTAGGCTGTTCAAGTTACTTTCATCAGAACACGTTCTAATTTTAAAAGATGAGGTTTCTTTTGCTCCCGTTATTTTGATGTGGGACTGTTCTTACAACTTTAATAGTAAACTAAGGAATCTATTTCTAAATTCCAGCCTAAGTGCATTCACAGTCACATTACTAAAACTTGCTAAATCTGACTTCTAACTTAAATGATTCCACTTTGGTTTACCACCTCCTCTCCTCTAATGCATTTATAGAAAAATCATGATGTTTTCTATCAGCCCTTATTGTGGCTTCTTAGCAAGAGTTAATACAACTCCCTGCCTAACCAAGGGATTTTTCTTTTCACCTATCTCAGTTTCCCCATATTTGTAGAATTTAGGCCAGAAGAGATCTCTGGAGGTCATTTAGTCCAACTCTCTGCTCAGAGCAGGGTCAAGTAGGTTGAATTGCTCAGGACCTTGCCAGGAAAACCTTTGAGTATCTCCAAGAATGGAGATCCTGTAGCCTTTCTGGGCTCCTGTTCCAGCAGTTGACTACCCTTGTGCTAAATAAAGCCATACATGGAATTTCCTGTGTTCCAAACTTTTTTCCATTGCCTCTTGGCCTAGCACATTGTACATCTAAGAAGGCTATAACTCTGTCTTCCCTGCACCCTCCCTTAGCTGTAGACAATAAGATCTTCCTCTAACCTGTTCTTTCTAAGGCTGAACACAGCTAGTTCTTTCCACCTTTCCTGTTATGCCATGTGCTCTAGGAAAGAGGAGTTTAATCACGTTCTGTACAAGGTAATCCAGTCGAAACCTGCTCAATGTTTCAGATTATGCTGCTACTAATTCTCTGGGAGTTATCTTCCTCGGTACATCCTACAGTCTCATTTGCAGTTCCCTGTTCCACTGGTGGCAAACAATCACTTTGTGATCAATGAACGCCCCATTCGAGCACAAGCTTCCTGGTTCAAACTTCAGCCTGTAGGATCCTACATGGAATTCCTGTTGTTAATTTGCAAGTTTGGCTATTTATTTTGTAGTAGTGACCGATCTTGCAGTTTACTCCACCGTCGAGGTCCTCAGAGTCTTTCTGTAGGGGATGATTATCCTCCCTGTTTTGAGCCATCAGTGCATTTCACCAGAATAAGGTGAAGGGACTGATTCTTCCCCGCCCCGTGAGAAAGGTGTGCATGTAGAAAGGAGTGGATCTTATCAATTCTTAGATGGAATTATAACCTCTGAGAAAAAGGATTTGCTCTTAAATTGAAACAGCAGTGAATGAAGTCTGTCATTGTGTAGCCTGGTGGATAACACCTGCCAGAAAAAGTAACTCTGACTCAAATGTCTTAGCAGTAAATGATGCCTCAGTTGTACATATGTTATGGAAGATGGATAGTCCCATTATAGTAGCTGCATCAGACAAGCATCTGCTAGTTGGCTCATTGTTTAGAGATAGTACAATCTATTTATATCATTATCCATAGCCCTATAAATAATTCCTTTAAGAGTATGACCTGTCTGTATCTTCTGTAAAGGCTTGTAAAGGCTGTTGAAGGAAACACAATTCTCCAATCTGGAGCCCTTTCCAAAGTTAGTTGTTTTGTTCATTTGGGTTTTGGTTTGTGTTTTTTTTTTTTTGTTGTTTGTCTTTTTTTTTTTTTGGGGGGGGGGGGGGTGTTTTGTTTTATTTGTTTGGGTTTTGGTTTGTTTTGTTTTTTAAAAGATTTTTTTTTTGAATGAAAATGTGTTCTGACTTTCCTAAAACAGTGTCCCAGAACTTACTGACTATAAATAGTAACGTGAACTTTACCACTAGAGATTTCAACAGAAAGTTTCCTAGATCTTTGTTGCCACATTGAGGTAAGGTGAGGGCTGAACCCAGACTAAAATACATCCAAAGCTGTTAGGTTCTATCTGCTCTCTGTGCATAAGAGCTCTCTGAGGCTTGCACCTGCACTGGTACTGTCACCTTCAAAGGAAATAATGAAGTGGGGCTCCTCAGGAAGTCGGGTAGCTCTGTGCCAGGCTGCCCTGGAATTCTACTAACTTTACACTTGTTGACAAGCTGAGCCTTCACTTTCAAAGCCCTTTCAGATTTTCCCTTTATTTCCAGTACTTTGGAAATAAATTATTTCTTTCTGTGGCAATGTAACAGTATACTTAGGTTCACCTGCCTTAGGTGCCATAAATGAGCAAACATGAGTATGGTACTGCATACAGCCCTCTGGCTATTATTTTAAATGTATTGAGGAGAGGTGGTTTAGCTGCAGCAGGGATCAATCAGGTTGCCCACTGCTCTGGCATTACATCCTGACTTGCCTCTTGCTCGCAGTTGCTTGTGACCCCTAGACAAAAACAAGAGATCCAGCTCTGTGTGCACAGCGTACACTCTATTACTTCACTATCTCAGAGAACTATTATTTGTAATATTTTGATGTAAAATCCCATATCTTATTAACTTGGTATTTATAACAAAATAATTACTACCCGCAGTTATTTTCGTTGTCACCTTTCCATTTGTTACTTCACCTCTAGGGGCAGGCTGGACAGCAGAAGTATCCGTGTGCTCACTCCATCAGATTGTGAAAGTTTATGTAGGAAGTAACTGGTATGAAACCTACCTACAGACTTTATTGAAGGTATGGGTAATGAATTGTCTTTGCATTGCCTTCACATGAACATTCCAGGACAGAATTCATAATTCTACAGACTAGGATCTATATTCCCAGTAACAAGATATGTTAGAATGGTTTTGATCTGAAAACTTGGAGTTATCAGAGCTTCACATGTAGACTGAGTGTTTTCTACTAAGGGAAGTATGTCCAAGTACCTGAGGGAAATAAACCTTGGACCTCCCAAGAAAGTACTTCTGGGCTAATTATATAAGTATTTTGGCTAATATAAATGGGCTTGATGGAACTGGTTTAATTATTTTACTGAGAAAAGAAATCCAAACAGGATTTTTCCTTCAGTCTCTGACTAACACCAGAAATCTGGTTTTAATGTATTTTAATTTCTGTAGTACCCAGAGCTGCTGTCAAATGACAAGAAAGTCTGTTGGATCACGTATGGTCAAACTCTTCTAATCTATGGAGATGGGCAAATGTTTCAGCACGTTCTCAACTTTCTAAGACTTGGGAAATTGTTTTTGCCAGCTGAATTTAAGTAAGCAGAGTGAATTCATGTGTTTCCTTTATATTATTAAATGGTTGTAAGGGAAGTAAGCGTAGTGGTTTGTCCTCTGACTCTTGTAGAAATATTATCCAAAAGAATTAAGGCTTTTCTTTTTAGTCCTGAAGTAAACTATTCTATCTCAAAATAAATTACTGAGATTTTGAGACTGCGAGATGCTTTTGTTTCAGTGTGTATGTCTTTATTTTAATGATCAATATGCCAGATACTTGTAATGCAGGGTATATTTTGTGTGCACATTTAGCAAAAAGGAAAATATTTTTATTGATGAGATCATTGCATCCCCGTTCAGATCTTTGTCTTTTTATGTGTCAGGGACTGCAAAGTCTTGCTAGTCCAGCTGAAAAATATTCCATCTGCCCCCTCTACTGGTATCTCTGTTCCAATGCTGAAAAATACATCTTCCAAAACTGCAGGGGTGCAGGAATGGATGAACACAGGGTGCCTAAAGAGGAGAGGGCACTCCCCCTCCATATATATATTAGGTCTCTAAATTATATCAAATATTAGAAAGTGAGATGGACACTAAAACACACGGCCTCCTAAGGATACTCCTTCAATGTTTCACTTGCCCTGAGATTGCCCAGAACCACCAACCCTTCGGTGCTATAGCTTCTTGTAGCATTTTCCCTGGGACTGATGCTTCTGCCACCACTACACGTTACATTTTTTTTTTGGCATGCAACGAAGGTCTGCCTGGCATCAAAAGATCTTTTGGTGTCCTCAGTCCTCGAAGCCCTTGGTTTTTTGGGTTGTTTCTAGTAGACAGAATACCTTCACTACAGATTTCTAGCTGATGATGTCATTTTTAGCACATTTAGCTGTTTCTGAGAGGAGTATGTGTTTTCATTCTCTTCCCCGAAGTCAGCAGAAATGTTACACCAGTGACTTCTTTGATATAATGACCACCGGTTGCTTTCATGTCTGTCAGCAAAGGCATAGGAGGCCAGATGTCAGACATTATAGTTATATAGACAAGCAAACTAAATATATCTGAGAATGGTTCTGGTCACTCAGGCCAGGTACTTTTCTTCTAGTGATCAGCTTTAAGCTCCCAGAGATGGTGGCTTCGCTCTCCCTGTCCACTGCAAACACTCCCAGGAACATCTGAACAGCCAAAACATGCCTGGGAATTGTTGGAGAGTGTATAAACTGGGTAGGAGCAAGCACAACGCTAATGGCTTACTAGCAGAGATAAGTTCTAGGGCTAAGAATATTTCTGGGAATGGTGCATGTCCTAGTAGCCCATCAAAACTGTGAACCCTCTTTATGAGATTCCCTAGAGAAAATGCCATAGTGAATTTTCCAAATGAGAAAAGTGTCGTGAGTGTCACAGCACAGAGTAGGATTCCTGCTTCTCAATATTGGGTTTTATCATTAATATCCATGGTTAATTAAAGAAAAGAAACAAAAAGAGAGGGGACAGACATTTTCACTTAACTAGTAGAAGGGCAATAGCAGGAAAAAGTATTGAAAATAGTAAGTTTCAGAAGGATTTTAAAGGGTCCTGCTGAACTCCTCTAGTTTAGGAGCTCATGTATTTTGGTTGCACCTTTTCAAAAATGTGTCCTCTAATTTGGAATTCCTGACATAAAACTTAGACTCTGTGGAAGTCAATGGGAAGATTTTTATTTACGTCAATAGAACCAGAATTTTTTCTCTCATTCTTTGGATGCCAGATATGAAACAAACAAACAAACAAACAAAAAAACAAAACAAAACAAAGCTAATTTGGGTACTTTTCAGTGTTTAAAATTATAGGCTATTTGTCTGTCTGTTAAAAGAAAAATCACTTGTGTGAGTATATCTTTCATTTTGTGTAGCGATTGCCTGAGCTTCCAAAATTAATATATATTTTGAAAAGATAATCTGCTAAGACTGTTTTTTAGTGATTTTACAGTTCAGTTTATTTGCAACTTACAGAGAATGGCCTCTCTTTTGTCAAGAAGCAGAGGAGTATCAGATCCCTTCTCTTTTAGAGGCACTTTATCACTCTGATGCATACAGGTAGATAAAACTTCTTTTTTTTTCTTTTCTATTGTATAACTTCCTTTCATCTGGCCTAGCAGTGTTTGTCCTTTGAAAGGAGCACAGTTTTCTCCTCTCCTTCTGGAACACAGCTCCTGGAGGATGAGCAATTCCTTCTGGGTCACATTTTTTTCCCATCAGTTTTTTGGCTACTGAAACAGTAACAGAATAGTCCTCAGTCACCTCTCCAGTAACCGAGGGAAAAGGCAACTCATCCTCTAAATCCAGATATTGAGAATATTGCAGTGCATGCTGGAAACCGTTGTACAGGTACACCAGACTGAGCAGAGACATTCTGATTTATCAGTTTTGGCTCACCTCTGGCTTTGCCAAGCCCCAGCTGGTTTCTGCAGACCCACTGGAGGATTTGCCAGCACTGGAGAGGGTAGAACGGCATGTGTTCAATGCAGCATCACAGCAAAAGATTGAGGCAAGCTGGAATTTAAATCTAGACAAATTAATGTTGAAAATAAGTCATAAACTTTTGCATATTAATTAACCATCAAACATTTTCTCAGAGGCTTATTTCTCCACTGCTGAAAACTTTTAAAAAAAGATGGGATGTTTTTCTAACAGATATTTTGCTATTAAAACAGGAATTAGCATTTGGTGTTATTGGAGACCTCATAATTGCAGTGGTCTTCTCTGGCCTTACAAAACCTGTGACTCTGCAAGGGCTAGTGTTTTCTTCGCTATTGTTCTCAGTAGAGACGGACAAAATACTAAAATGTAGGACTTTTGGAAAGCCCATAGAACTGAGACATTTTAACTCCTGAATGCAGAGTACTTTAGAAGATGACCCAGCATGGCCCTTCTCTTCAGCATTTTTCTGAGCACGCTCTGGATGTTAGTGGCTTCTTCCTTAGGCTGCTCACAGTCTGTTTAGGCATTTTAAAGTCAAAATACACCCATTAAAATCTCCCCAGAAGATCAGGAGTCACCAAAGCAGGTTCTGAAATACCAGTGCCACGGTCTGCCTGCATCAGGATTTTTCAATCTCATTGTAGGGCACACTAGTGGTAGCTATCAGCATCCCACCAGTGGTGACAGCAGTTCCTAGATTTTATTTGTAGATCTCTATGAAGGTGAAATCCTAAATGTCATTCCCTCAATTCCCCATCCCAGTGCAGGAGCCTAACCTCACATTCCTACACCCGCAGAGCGAGAGGAGGATATAAGAGGAACTCTGAAGCATCTCACATGTGAATGATAAAATTCTATATTCCCTAGGCGGTTTTAGCTGAGCACTAGTGTTCCTCTAACATCAATTCTTCCACTGTTCTTTGGTGCTTTCCCATCAGGGAAGGTGTCAGCATCTCTATCATATCCAGCAAAGGCCTCTAACAAAGCAAAACAATGGGGGATTGGTCCCTAGAGTTCTTTGCCAGATCATCAGTCAGCTCCATAGGCAATCTTAGCAAATCTCTGCCTATAGCAGACGGAGAGCAGCAGCTGCTCTGTGCTTCCAGCATTGTTTCACCTTTTCAGAAGCTGCTGTGCGGGTCAGGCAGTCACTGGCAGGAGCTGAGCTTCTTAAGTGGACTCAAAATTCAATTTTGAAACCATGAATGTAAGTGGTTGACCTGAATCTGAATAGCTTGCTCCCCAAAGTGTCTAGAACCTATTCACAAAAAAAAGAGGGAAAAACTCCAAATCTGATGTCAGCTAGACATGGCTTACATAATTCCATTGGTCAAGGTTTTGTGGATGCTGGAAGAGATACAAGAAATCATTTTTGTCTCCTATGTATCTGCAGCATCACACTTCAGAAATTCTTGTCAGAGGTGGGAGGTGGAAAGTCCTGGTCCTTTGCTACCCTCACGTTGTGCACTAGTGATAAGTGTGAACTCCTTCATTCCCCAGTAGTTTAAAAGTACCTTGTAATAATAATGCACGCAGATCCAAAGGTGACTGAAAGTCCTGGCAGCTCTTTTTACAAGTTGACCGGGTGTCACCCCTGGAAAAAGTTCTATAATAATTGTAATCATTCATTTCTAGATTGTGGATCCAAAACAATGAACTGCGCAATGAAGTTTCTTCCCCATGTAGAAGATTAAGTACTGTGTCTCGGAATGAAGAGCATGAGTTCAGCAAAGACCTAAAAGAAGTAAGATTTGGGTTTCAGAATATGTTGCCATAAGGCACTTCTAAAAGCAATTTGAACTAGAAAGATGCCCAATTTAAATTCTCCAGTACCATCTTGCTTTTTCTTCCTGTACAAAATTAGTCTTGAAAATCTCACTCTCTAAGAAAAAGAACATCTTCATTTTAAAAATCTAGGCTTTGAGCATCAAGAGAGAACGGAGAGCAGCAATAGACATTCTGTTTGCATATCACAAAAGCATGAGAGCTCCTTCTATAAGGAGATCATTTAGGTAACGATCCACACTTAATTCCCCAGCAGATTTCAAGGCAGGGTGCTTTAGCCCTGCCTGAGTGCTGAGCTTTTATTTCTTTTTTTATCCAAAGCCTGTGCACTGTGAAGTCGTGCAGCCCAAAGCATAAGGTCAAGATCCTCTGGTCTGTGTTAGCTTGGTCTAAACCCCACCGACCCACAGGCTTTCAGATTCTCCTTTTGGTCTTGTGATTTGCCTGCCTGGTTACTTAGGGAGTGAGTCCCTGTCACTGAAGGGTGGGATGTGTTTTCGTGCAGACTTCGGTGTGGCTTGGAAGCTGGGGCACGGGAGATACGGGCTCTGACCCCTCTGGGCGAGGAGGACCCAGAAGCCAGATCTCCTGGTTCTGAGGTAGTGAAGACGGGAGCAGCACGCTTAAGCAGTGCACTCGGGCAAGAAAGCGTCCCGCAGCAACCTCATCTGGTCTTTGGAGGCAGTGGAAGCTCTTCCTTCTCAAGTCTCTGAATGGTTTTAGTCCTTGGCTGGGCACCAGCAGCTGAGAGCTGCCCTCAGTCTTCTGGAGAAAGGTGAAATGAAGCTGCTGCCTCTGTAGCATTTACACGCTGCTCCCAAACTCTGTTAACGCTGGTGTTCGGGCGGTAGAGTGGCTGCACACCTTGCTTTAACTTGCCAAAGCACCTTTCTTGCACAGAAGGTGCTGCTGTCAGTTCAGATAACCGAAATCATCTCAGCTGTAGTGGTAGCAGGGATGTTGAGGTGCTGCTTCTGTGCCTTGGCCACGCCAGTGTCTATCTTTAGGCTCAGCAAAATCCAGTGGTGGGAACTGAGGGGATTCAGGACAGCGTAACATCAGCACTGAATTGTCATCTCTGGGTTTGGAGAGCCTTAAGGCCCTGCAGCCACCACAGAAGTGAGAATGCATCTTCCAGGATTAAGAACTGCCCTTAAATACTTGTGTTCTAAGGAGTAAAATACCTCAGTTATTAGGAAAGGCAAAACTTACACTTCCATATCAATTAGAAATAACATTTCACTGTATTTTTTTAGGTGTACTCATGTACAGCTGCAGATTCCAGAAAATGCTATATTAGTACGTGGAGTAATGTAAAAGATCTGAAGGGGAAGCAAGAGACCAGTGGAGCAAAGTATTCCAAAATGATTTTGCGGACTAAAGGAACAAAGCGGAGGAATACATTTGGGGGATACGACGCCCCCTCAGACAGCCTGGTAAACTCCGGCTTCTACCCGCATTTGGTAAGCCCTCCAAGGAAGAGAGGAGTGAGGAGCAGTTTAACGGAGAAAGTAGAAAGTAAAGACTCAGCAAGTCCCATCCAGAAATTAATTTCCCTGGTAAGGGACTGGGCCGCGGTGAGCCCGCAGGGGTGTGACTTCCAGCATGTGAGAACACCTGGCGGCTGTCTCGCAGCGAGCGCGTCTCAGCGCGACGCTCCTGGAAAGGAGAGGGGTGTCAAAGCTCCCTTTGCTGCTGCTCCTGGGAAAAGAAGCTTTACAATTCAAGGAAGCGATCGCGTTACCCAGTGCGAAGCCGGGGCTGAAGGAAAGCAGCCGGAGCAGTACGTGTTCACACAGAGGTTGCCAGTTACTCCAAGTGCTGGAACGTTTCAGTTCAGCACCATAAAAACTACTCCTGCAGTAGGAAACGATGCAGAGAATGTAAACAGGGAGCAGCCAGAAGGTAAATGACTGCTTTGTGACTGTTGTTTTCAAAAACGATGGGAGTAATTCACTGAATGACTTGTATAAATGAGATACTTTGATCACGCTGGTGAATTTCAGTGACAGTCTCAAACTTTTCCTTGTTCTTCTCCTCGTAGGGAGTTTTTCCAGTGAAGGAAGAGACAAGACCTTGCAGGTGAAACTCATCCCTATAAAAGACAGTGAGTTGCTTGCCAGCTGCTAAGCAAAGGCTGGGTTTTACTGCTTGTCCACGCAGAGTTTAATACTAAAAGTGTTTTTGCCAGAAAGGTGGAGCAGCTTTTGGCTTCAGTGGCATCAATGAGCTGTTCTTTCACTGTCTCCTTGTTACGCTGCCTTCAGGGCTGCGCAAGGAACAGGGGAGCTGGTTTGATGAGCTGAAGTCACCCAGTTAGTTACAGAAATACATAGGTTAGCATAAAGACTGCTGCCAAACTCCAGAGTTTCCACAGGCACCTGTAGGACCTAAAAAGATTTACCTGATTAGCCAAGATGCTAAATGCAAGCTCAGGAAGGCTTGGTGGAAAGTCTCGGCCTGAGTCTTGGTTCTGACACCCTGAGAAGGGTGTGATTTACCCCGCGCCGCTTCCACCAGGGGTAGGGTGGCAGGTTTTCACAGAACCATCGGCAAAGCAAAACGTATTAATACTGATTGTGGCTGGTTTTGTTACAACAGCACTGCAAGCCAGGTCATTATTTTCCTAGGAGAAAAACCTCTTTGGTATCCCGTGAAAGAATCCTGGACTGAATTATGCTTGGGTTCTGTTAAGCAGGACGTAATGGTTAGTCTGAATTTTCCATGCAAAAGAGGGAAGTGGAGAGGACCTGTAACGTTCCACCTAAGATTGTAAATTATTTGGTGTACAGCTTGTCATTGACTGTCCGGTGGTGTCTCACCTTTCCTGGCAAAATACCAGGACAGAATAAAGGCAAAAGGAGGCATAACTTTGAAGAGAAGATGACAACATTGTGTTTTTACTTAAAAACGGACAGACGTGTTTATCCCATTACTACCGATAGAGGCCTCGCTGTAAAATTCACATCGTATTTCTTCACAGAAACCAGGGACAGCAAACAAACCGACGTCGTTCTGGCAGACCAGGGAAACGTGGGATTGATTCTGAAAGTTGAGCATCCTCCGGTTTTAGGCAGGGATGGCTTTTGCACCAACAGCGAAGAGAGTGTTGTTTACAGCGCCCGGCCGGCCGGCCGCCAGCTGGGCACTGCAGCCACTCAGGCACCACCCGAAGGTGAGGAGCCGTAAATAGTTCTGGGATCTTGCTGCAGAGTTCTCAGTACGAAAACCATTCTCTCTCCTGGTTTGTTGTCAGTCCTGAGTAGCTAAGGCTATTGCAGCCGAACCGCTGCTTACGTTTAATTCTTCGAAGCAGCCGGACAGCAGCTGCCTAACCGAGCCCGTCCCTTGAATATTTATTTATTGGTGAAGCTCTTCGATGCATCAAGAACGACGCAACGGTTTGGCGTCTGTATTCAGTTTTTATTCAGGCAAACTCTTACACCGAGCTGAGGTTTGGACACTGGCTGTTAGGACTCAGGTGCCGTAAAACCCGGGGCAAGAAAAGCATTAAAAAGTCCAAAAGCTGGATAACTGAAATGGTGAGGGTTTTTTTTTTTTTTTTTTTCTCCTAATGCCTTTGTGTTCTTTCAACTGTTCCTTGTAGATACAGTTTTTCTGACCTTTGCTCTCTCACGTGAGGAGATATTCTACGCCAGGAAGTGCCACTTTTTCCTGACGGATGTCATCCTGGACTCAGTAAGGCAGAAGGATCCCAGAGAAATCACAGCCAAACTCGGGACCCTGGTGAACGGGCTGTGGGTAGGTACAAGTTCCCAAGCGCCCGGGGGAGCCGTGGCTGGAAACTGGGCTCCTCCCCTTCGGCCCCAGTGACCCGGTGGTCACTGCGCTGGGCGGGGGGGGGGGGGCAGCTGCCTTGCCAGGTGTTTTTTTTTTTTTTTCTAAAACCAAGGGTAACCCCCGAAGCAGAGGACGGGGGCGGGGGTTTGGCCTCCAGTCACTCCTGAAGAGCTAAACAGCAGCCCGGCAGCCTCCCGCTGCCTGGCCGCTGGGCTGGCGCAGAAATTTACGGCCCCGCTCTCAGGGGCCCAGGGGTTTCTGAGGGGTTTTAATTTGCGTTGGCAGTACCCGGTCTCCCCCAGCCCCTCCCCAGCAATCTCGCTTTAAGCAGCTCCAACCAGAAGCCTTTTTCTTCTCCCCTGGGAGAGGGGGACAAAGGTGTGCGGGGAGGGGACTCGGGAGAGTGGGCCCTCCGGTTTTCCTCTGCTCGTGGGGTGGGTGTGTGTGGGTGTGGGGGTGTGTGTGTCTGTGTGTGTCTGTCTGTGTGTGTGTGTCTGTGTGTGTCTGTGTGTCTGTCTGTGTGTCTGTGTGTGTGTGTGTGTCTGTCTGTGTGTGTGTCTGTCTGTGTGTGTGTCTGTCTGTGTGTCTGTGTGTCTCTGTGTCTCTGTGTGTCTGTCTGTCTGTCTGTGTGTGTCTCTCTGTGTGTGTCTGTGTGTCTGTGTCTGTCTGTGTGTCTGTGTGTGTCTGTCTCTGTGTCTGTCTCTGTGTGTGTGTCTGTGTCTGTCTGTGTGTGTGTGTCTGTGTGTGTGTGTGTGTGTGTCTGTGTGTCTGTGTGTGTCTGTGTGTCTCTGTGTGTCTGTCTGTCTGTCTGTGTGTCTGTCTGTCTGTGTGTCTGTCTGTGTCTCTATGTGTGTGTCTGTGTGTGTGTGTCTGTCTGTGTCTGTCTGTGTGTCTGTGTGTGTCTGTCTCTGTGTGTCTGTCTGTGTCTGTCTGTGTGTGTCTCTCTGTGTGTGTCTGTGTGTCTGTGTCTGTCTGTGTGTCTGTGTGTGTCTGTCTCTGTGTCTGTCTCTGTGTGTGTGTCTGTGTCTGTCTGTCTGTGTCTGTCTGTGTGTCTGTGTGTGTCTGTCTCTGTGTCTGTGTGTCTGTGTCTGTCTGTGTGTCTGTGTCCGTCTGCGTGTCTGTGTGTGTCTGTCTGTGTGTCTGTCTGTGTGTCTGTCTGTGTCTGTCTGTGTGTGTCCGTGTCTGTCTGTGTGTGTGTGTGAGACTGATTCCAGCCCTGCCACCTCTCACCAAGCCTTTTGGATCTGACTAACAATTAACCCTGACCAGGGCCGCCCTGGGAACTCCTCCAGCCCATTTCCCTGGGCTGCTGGTGGCAGGAGCCGGGCACTAGCGATCAGACCGTGTCCTGTTCTGTGTTTTAGACTCAGCAGCTCACCCCCGGGGAGTTTGTGGCTGATTTACTGAACATCGAGTATTTTAAAGGGAACAGAAGTGTTCACAAAGAGCTCCTTCAGTGGGTGGAAGTAAGTAGCGTTTGCCACCCCTCCCCGTCCCCCGGGGCGTTTGCAGAGATAAGGCTGGGGGCTGGGGGGGGAGGAACTGAAGACATTTTGCAGCACACGGCGCCTAATGTCGTGCATAGTCTTAATGGAAGTTTAAAATTCTGCTGCTCCTTTAGAAGATGCCCACAGCAGGTGGGCCGGAGACTTCTGGGGTTGTTAAGAAGCAGGAGGGGGGTGGGGGTGGTGCTGTTGTGCCCTCGGCGGGTGATTTGAGGGCGGCCTCTGTTTTGTGCTTTTTCAGTTTACGCTGCCGTTTGCGTGGAAGTACAGCTGCTGCCTCGACTTACTGATCCGGAGAGGGTTTGCTAGATCGGTTTCATACTTTGCCTTGGAAATGTAAGTTCAGAGAATGTTAATAAAAATTTGAGCCAGTTACTTTTTTTTTTTTTTGCAATGCTTCATGTTCTTGTGGCAGGGGAGGGCAGGCTGCACACCTCATCTGCCACTTAAGAAAAAGCCTTTTTGCTCAGCCTCCTTTTAACTTCAGGGACTTTGTTTAGTCAGGAATCGTAGCAGCTGCCACCTTCTGTCCAGTTTCTTGCCTCTTTATTAGTGACCCGTGGGGTTTAGTTCACAGAAGGTGATGCTTTCACAGGCCAAGGCTGCAGCTCTGGTCCCCGGGCGCCCCTACAGCTGCTGTCCCCCTCTCTGCCTGTGTGGCCAGGCCCGTTTTCCACCCGTGACCCAGCGCTCATCCCACTCCTGACCGGGGCTGCGGATGAGCCGTCGCACCGGGATGGCTTCCTGAGGAGAAAACACTGAGCCAGCAGTTAGGCAAAAGCTCGTCCCTTCCCTGGGGCCTTATTTAGCCAAAATGAACCAAAGAATCCCCTTTTCTGCTCACAAATGTGTTAATATTATTTGCCCAATAAAATCAGGATATTAATCAGAGGTGCAGAGCAGTTCTATCATGTTTTATTTTAAGCCTGTTGCGCAGACGGGGCTCTTTGCTATTCCCATTTTCAAACCCCGCAGCTCTGGGGAGCCGAGCTGGCGCTTCCCATCATGGGAACCAGCGCCAGGCACCCCCAGTCTCACCCCTAACAGCCTGCTTACAAAAATCACTAGTTCAGTCTCCCCCCCGGTGCTCTGAGAGGACACTGAGATGCCCTGGGACAACTGCTGCTCTCCCCTGCAGCCCCGGTGTCCCTGCTGAAATCCAGATACAATGCGAACACGATTCATAGAAAGAAAATGACCTTTATTAGACAAATCAAACCCTGAAAAAAACAGCGTCAGGTAAACATTACTAAAGGTTTTTCCAGCAATGCAGAAACCTTTGAAACAGAGAAACTGGGGAAGTTCCGTGTTTCCTCTTGTTGCATTAGCAAACGTTCTCCCTCTTGTGACAGGAGGTAGCGCTGCCTTGACAGCCCCAAACCCTCGCAGTAACCCAGCCATTATTTTAAAACAGTAACTGCTAAAAACTTCCCTGTGCAACTGTTTTCCCACACGGTTTTCTACAAAGGTGTCAAACTGCATTCTCGTTGTTGTCTACAAAAAAAGAGCAAGGTTTCAAAACCATCCAGCTTATCAAAAATAAACAAGTGTTTTACGTACAGTACAGGAATTTCCGACTTGAAGGAGCACGGTCCGTACGCTGAGGGTAACGTGGGGGGGGGGGAGGTTTGACATCCGAGACCACAGCACTGCACAGCCCAGGGCCGGGCAGCTCCCCCCACCCAGCAGCCACGGGGAGAAAAAAAACTGCCGTAAATAAATTACTGCTCCATCATCTTCCTCCAGCGAAATGCAACACCGCTGCGCTCCCATCTGGGGGAAGCCAGATTTATAGCACTTCGTCAACCAGGAGTAAACAGGAGCTCGGTAGTAAGTAACTACAGTTGCCCAAAAACGAGAATTTTCATTTCCTCCAAGAAGGGGGAGAGGGTGGCACAGCCACGCGGTGAGTTTTGGTGTCACTCGTGAGTGGCAGCCTTGGAGCACAGCGCGCGTTTGCCCTCCTGTGAAGGCCGTGCTACTTCAGCCAAAGTGCATTTAAGGGTCAGCATTATAACCGACTCCTCCTGCTCCAAACCTGTTGGTCTCGGATGCCACCACCAGGCAAAGCTCCTCAAACAAGCCCGGGGGGGGGGGCTGAAATACCTGGAGGGGGCTGGGTCGGGGGCGAAGCAAGCAGCCAGGACCCCCTCACCCCGAAACGCGGGGCGAGGCAGGCTGGGGGGCGGAACTTTGTGCGCCTGGAACTGCCCAACGGGGAGAGGGAGACCTGCCGTGGGGCCAGCAGCCCCCCCCCCGGGGGAAGGGGTGTAAATCAGAGCCTCCCCCTGCTCAGCCCCCTCGGAGCTGGCCGGGGGGGCGGGGGGGGTTAGTGCAGAGAGGGCCCCCAGAGCTGCTGGAGGGTTAAGGCAGAGATAAGCTCGGCACTGAGGCACTGGAAGAATCATCTGAAGAAACATTTCACTGTAACAATGAAATTGCTTTTATTAAAACAGAAGTGTTAAGCCAAGAAAATAAATTATTGCTATGATAGACATATTTAGAACATAAGGAAGGACGTTCAATCTTGAGCTCCAGGTCAATATAACCCTGAAACAGAAAGTTACACTACTTTTCTTAAATACCTCAGTTTCTCTTCATGCCCTTCCAAAAACTTTATAAAATGTGCAGCTTACGGAACAAATAGTAACAGAGTCACTCGTAACAAAAATCTGTACAGCTCATAGCTTTAAAAATAATACTTTTTTTTTTTTTTTTTTCCTCCAAACTGCTATGTTACTTATTACTCATAAATACAGGGCTAACAAGTTTTGAACACCCAAGGTCCCATCCAACACCAAAGCTATTTCGTGTCACTGACAGAAACGTTCTTGGGACTGGCCAGAGGCCAGGTTTGGGGCTGTTTGAAAAAGCCTGATTATGTGTAAAAAAAAAAAAAAAAAGTATCTTCCTGGGTGCAGACTGTCTCCTCCTGCTGGTCAGAGGCCTGGGGTCTTCGGTGGGTTTGAAATGGCATCAAACCTGGAACACAGCACCGTGCGATGGGTTAGACCGGCTGCACTCCCCCCACGGGGCAGGATCCCACGGATCCCTCCGGCCTGGCCGGCAGCGATTTTGCAAAACGCTTGAAACCCCACCGTTTGTCAGAGCTGCGTTTTGGTGGGGAAAGGAAGTTTTCCTGGAAGTGCCTTCGCAGGAGAAGCGCGGCTCTTCCCGCGCGCCGGGGGCTCCGTGCTGCTGCCCCAGCAAACCCCGCTGCCACCCCAGAAGCCTTGTCTGTGATGACCCCCCCCCCCAAAAAAAAAAGGGGCTCTGGACCTTCAATTTTAACCTCGGCTGGTTCTCTTTAGCCCCTTACGAACTCCTGGAGCTGCAGATCACAAGCCGTGGGCCCTCGTGCTTGTAACACCCCCGCAGTGCCAAGCCCACCAGCCTGTGCCCTGACCCTTCCAGCCTCAGTCCTGCCCCTCCCGTGCCCGTAGCCCCCTGCTCGCTGGGAAAAGGGAAAAATACCAAGCTAGAAGCAGGCGGGTCCACGTGGGCCATGACACGACTACCCACGGGCTGCCACCCACCCGTAGGAAGCCCTGCCCGGCTGCGAGTCTCGCAGGGCTCACCCCTCCTCAGAGCAACAGCGGTTTCCTCACAGGCACGGCACCCTCCGGAAATCAGTGAGGGCAGGAGCAGCATCCGGCAGCTCCCTCGGGACATCCCGACCCTAACCTCGCAGGTTCAAAGGAACCTGTGGGATAAACCCAGCTTGGGGAGAACACTGTGGATTCCCCAAGGCGGTTCAGAGGGACTAAGAGCAGGATTTGGGCAAACAGTCACAAGAAACGGATTAGTGGTTAGACAGCTGGGCAGCATTCAGAGGGAAGCAGCTCATCTGGACACCGCTGACTAGGTGGTGCTCAAGCCTCTACTACCTGAAAGTGATTTTGCTCCTTTTCCTTCTGCTTCTTCAAACCAGGGAGGCGTCAGAGCGGCCATGTAAGGCGACGGCTCTCTGGGAGCCATCTCTGCGGGCGCTGCTCTGCCCTAACCAGGTGAAGCAGAAGCCTCACAGACCCGTCAGGAAGGTGTGTGGAAAACTCCTCGAGAAGCAGAGGGTGAGGTTCTCCCGCCTCGGAGCTACTGACAAGCCTGGCCAGCGCTCAGAGCTGCTGGAAAATCCCCTGCAGGGGCTACTTACAACAACTCCACTTCCTTAGGCGGTATACGTGTGCAGAGGGGCTCACACTATTGTCGAGGGACTTATGGTGACCTGGCCTGCTTTCTGCAGAGGAGAGAAGCCAGCATTAGTACAGGGTTAGAGGACAACAGCATCAGGACGCGATCTAGTGGCAAGGGAAGCAGCTGAGAACTCTCAGGAACGCAAGAGGAGACACGCTGACATCTCGGAGCGACAGGCTCCCCCATCGCTCCCCCAAAAGGCCCAAACCTCCCTGGAAAGGAGCTTCGCAGCACCTGCGGCAGAGCTCCGTCCACCCCGGGCGGTCACGCAGGCAGCCCAGCCCACGCCAGCTCCCCAGTGGGCAGCATCCCCTCCCGGTGCAGCCTCCAGCACCGCGGGGTCCTTCCCAGCGCGTTCTCCTCGGGGAGCCTGCCCACCACAGGGGAGGCTCGCACAGCAGAGGGGCTTTCGCCTGCCCCAGAGGCGGCGAGTCGCTGCGAGAGGAACAGTCACTTCCCCACCGTGACCCCTAACCCCAAAGCAGCATCTTCAGCCCCGCCACGAGAGGCGGTGGCTCGAACCGGGGAGGCAGGTGCAGGAACAGGCAAAGCGAAGGGAGCGTTTTGGCCTCTTGCACTTACTGCAGAAATGTACTGGCTGTTTGTGAACCTGGGCTTCTCCTCCATCGCAGAGCCGTGTTTTGAGCCTAGCGGCATGTAGGGGGGTGAGCCCATGTCTTCACAGAAGCTTTCCTGCGGGACGCTGGAGACACAGCCGCTGTCGGAGCCGCTGGAGCCGCTGCCTGACATGCAGTGCGATGACTCCGAGCTCTCTGTTGCTGGGGGAAGAGAGGAAGGTCGCTCTGAGGACCGTGAATTTGGCCTGCGTGGCCTGTGCCATGTACACCTGATAATGTATCCGGTTGCAGAGGCACCACCGGCCACACGAGCCCACAGAAAAGCCACGCGCCTCTCTGGGCCTCGTTAAAACCACAGGCAATGAAATAACCCAAGTGAATGATGCTGGAGGTTGGTGTAGACTGGCCAGGGAAGTTGACACAGGGGAAGCCAAGGGGTCACCGGACCACGCTGGCGAGAGCAAGGGACAGAGAGCCTCGTGTCAGAGGGGCAGAGACATGAGCACTGGTGTCCAAGGCCGCAGCAGCGCCAGCACGCGGCACAAGCCGGCCACGGGGACGGCTGCAGATCAGCGGGCGCTGCGCTCACCCCCGTTTGTCCCCTTTTCCGCGGGGGGAGTCAGCTCAGACCGAGCCGGCACGGAAGGACAGGGCGCTCCTTGCCCCGGTTTGGGTACGAGCCAGGGACTGCCACAAGCCCAGCGAGCCTGGTGTGAGGGGAACCGCGCGGAGCAGGGGGTGGGGACGAGCATCGCGGAGCTCGTACGTACTCAGCGACGGCTGGCTGCTCGTCTCGTGCTCCAGCTCGTCTTCCTCGATGCAGGTGCCGATGTCGAAGGGGCGGCCGGGGGCCAGGACGCCTGGCAGCAGGGCCTGGTCCAGGTACATGTGGAGGTTGAGGGGTCCCAGCAGGGAGGAGGAGGAAGGGCTGTACGCGGCGGGGGTGCTGCCGGCGGAGAGCTGCGCCTGCGTCCGCTTGTACGGGTTGGAATGGTCAAACAGAGACACCGCGATTGACGCTCTGGTCCTGGCACCTGCCCGAAAAGCCACCGAAAAAGCCCTGAGCACCATCCTGCCTAGCTCCCCCGGAGCGAGGGGGCAGGCAGGGCTGGCGCTTACCTCTGCCCTTCATGATGTAATCGATAGCGCGGTCATTGATAGCTGCCTCGCTGGGTTTGATATCCAGGAAGGGCTTGTTGCCCACGCCCATGGAGACCATCTCCTGCATACGGATTTCTGGAGAGGACGAGACCCACAGCCGCACCCGTGAGGTTGACTCAACCCTCCCCACAGGCACTGTGCAGCCACAGGCCAGAGCACTCCTGGGCTGCTGAGGTTAGATCTGTTCTCCCCTGGCTCCCCAGTCCCAAGGAGCCCCCCAGGGACAAGCAATCATGCCCTCTCTGGCCAAGTAGCTCCGTGCCATGCCACCTACAAGAGTCCTGCCAAGCGGGAAGCCTGGGGTGGAGAGGAGGGACCCGGCCAGCCTGGATCGGGGAGTTGCCACTCCAGCAGCGGCCGAGATCCCGGAGAGAGCAGCGGAGCCTCTGAGGAGCAGAGCCCACGCCCACAGGGCAGGGAACCCTGCGCTAGTACCTCCCGATTCCCTCACGGAGGCCACGCGGGTGGCTAGTCACACAGAGCTCGGGCTGGCCAAGTTCCCTGGGGATGAGGGGCAGGGAAGGGACATGCCCAGCCAAGCCCAGCACATGCTCCCGAGGCTGCATGCTGGCACACAGCTGCCTGCAACAGGCTCCAAACCTCCTCAGGACAGCACGAGCTGAACAGGGCTCCCGCACCTTTTGCGGCACAGACGCCCCAGGAAGGAATCACACCTTTATTGCGGGCTGCCTGCTGCCACAGGATCTTGGCAATATCACTGGTCCAGGCCTGCTTAGTCTCAGCTGAGCTGGCCTGGAGGATGTAGGTGTCACTGGACTTTCGCCTTCGGAACCAGATCTCAAAGCGCAGGCCGCTGTCTCCAGAGTTCTCTGTCAGACCGATGTCTGCAGTCTGCCAGAAAAAGGAAGAGCAAAGCATCAACCCAGGCTCTACCAGGAGAAGAAAGGATAAACTCTGCCTGCGCCAGAGACACCCCTGGCTTGGAAGACACGAGGGGAAGGAGAGTGAGGGTCTGGACAGGAGCAGGTACAATTCAGACCCAGCTGAGCAGACACAGTGCAGGCAATCCCCAGTGCTTCAGCCAGTCAGCACCCCCCTCCCTGCCACACACACACACACACACACTGCCTTTCCCTCACACTCTGCATCCCTCAGCTCCACATCTCACAGCACGGAGTTGGGCCCAGGCATCCATGTGTGAAGTATTCCCTTCTGGCTTCACCACATGGCTTGGGGAAGGCTCAGCAGTGGTGGGAGCAACTCCTCTGCTGAAAGTGCTCCCAACTCCCCATTTCAGAGCCATGTGCCTGTGGGCAAACCAGCCACCGACACCTCCTGCACAAGAGTGAGCTGCAGGGCTGCCCTTACCTTGAAGGAGCGCTTGTAGATATACACATCAAAGCCACCCTCAATCCTCTTGGGCTTGCTGAACAGGATCAGGTCCTCAAAGAGGAAGACGTGTCGTTGGCATTTCCTACGGCCCAGCCAGATGGTGAACTCATCCTGCCGCACCAGCTGCCCCTGCTCCTTCAAATTTACCTGGACACAGAGAACATCCTGGTAAGAGGCCCAGCAGGATGAGGTCTGGGCAGCCCCAGGCCTGGACTTGGAAGAGCAAGGTCCCATATGGCTGTGGCCCAGGTGGTGAAGAAGTGGCAGCTACTCATTGTCTTAGGAGGGCTCTTGAAGGGGTAGGGCTGCAGGGCACTGCTAGGGGCCACAATCAGGCTGAAACAACTGGCCCAGAGCTCAGGGGAGAATTGCACCTCTCTCCTAGGCACAGCCCACAGATGACTCTCTGCTGTCACCCTGTGCAGGTCTGCAACAAACCTCTGGGGTGGCAACTGGAGGCAGCAGCCAGAGCGTTACCTTAGGGGGGAAGGAGAGAGCTGAAGAGGAAAGGAGTCCCATCAAACTACCAGCAGCACAGCTGGGTGAGGACAGCCCCTCAGTTTTTCCTGCCTCAGATCCACCTTCCTCCACTGGTTTCTCCTCCTCCAGTGCTGCACTTCGCATGCCTCTCCTTCAAGTCCCACCCAGCTGATTTTGGCCTAGCCCTGGTGTCAGCATCAGACTGAATTCCTTCTTGCAAACTGCCTGACTCTCTTATCACCAGCTCAAGAGATGGAAGGTCTCTAGGCAGCCCGCAGGACACCATCCGCAAGGGCTGCCAGGCTGCTTCACATCACCAGTAAGCACCCGGGAGCGTGTTTGCGACAAGCAGCTCACCCAGCACCAGTATCAGCATCCAGGCTGCCTGCCCCAGCAGATCAAGAGATCCTGCTCTGTGCCTCAGTAGTCCCGCTACGCGGTACTGGCAGGCAGCACCCTGATCACTGTGGGAATTTGAGGGGAGGCTCACCATACGATCCAAAGACCCCAAGTCTAGAGAAGGGGAAGAAGTGGTGTGGCTCTGCCCCCCCGGGCAGGGGAGGACACTGGAACGTACATCACAGTCACGGATGGCATCCATGGCCAGCAGGTCATTTCCGTGCCGGAGCTGAAACTTCACCATCTCCTCAGCCGCACGGAGGTAGCCCAGCTCCTGCTCCTGCGCCTCGCTGCACTCCTTGATCAGGTCCTTCAGGAGCAGGGCGTATTTGCTCATCCGCTGGATGGGTTTCAGGAGGTAGGAGGCCAGGTCCATCTTATCCCCAAGCTGCACCTGCTTGAACTGTGAAACACAGCAGAGTGAAAGGCAGCAGCTTCCCGTGGAGCGCCCTGTGCCCCCAGGCAGGCACTGACACCCACAGCTTTCCTGACTGGGGTACCCTGTTCGCTCTGCAGGGAAGTGCAAGGCCACAGGACCGATGCTGCTGTGTGCTGGGCTCCTTCCCAAAGCACTCACCGCGTCTCTGCCCCGTCCCCTCCCACACACTTGTGCAGAGAGCTGTGCCAGGAAAGCAGAGGTAGCATGCCTTAAGCAGGAAAGCCGGGCTTGTTTTGACAGAGCAGTGACCCAAACAGCAAGAGTAATCGCGATGCAGGTAGCGGAATTTACCTTGAAGAAGGTATTCCCATGGCTGGCCAGCAGCGAGTCCGACTTCGGCTTGTTCTTGCTATACAATGCATACATCCCAAACTGATCTTTCTGCAAAAGAGATCCCCATGTGAGACCAGCACACATCCAGGATGCAGTGACAGCCGTGCCCCTGCATTCGTTACTCCGGTACTTCTGCCTCTCTCAGGCTGCACCAGAGCCTCCTATGGTATCAGGAATGATTTGGCTTCCAGTTCCTTAAGAGGCAGGGAATGTTCTTGTCTTTCCTGCTCCTACAGTAGCTAGGACTATTTCATTGTCCTGTTACACCTTGCTCCTTACATACCCCAACAGATACCGTTCACCCCGTAGCAGCAAACACACACGGTGCAGCTGAGCTTAAGACCAGTGCCCCCCAACATCTCCCTAACAGCCCCCTTCAACAAGAGCAGCAGGTCTGCACCTCTCTGCTCACTGAAGTCATTCCACACCGACACCACAGTCAGAAGACAGGGTAAGGGATGCTCCTGTGGAAGCAGGGTGGGTTTTAAGGAGCAGGCATCTTGCTTCCCTGGCAGTGTCTCGTGGTAGCAAAGAGCAACAGGAAAGGCAAAGAGCACCTGCTGCTGCCTGGGCTCAGCCTCGCAGAGCCACCCCAGTCCAACCCAGCATTTGAGCTGGCAGAGGATGAGCCAACTCCTCCAACAAGACAGTCCACCCACTCCCAAAGAGCCACACGTGGGAGAGCAGCCAAATGTAAAGGCACTGCTGGGCACAGGAGCCAAGCACATGCCCGCAGGAGCCCGGCCCAGGAGGAAGGTGCTGATGCCTTACGTGTCGGAGGAAGCAGTGGCTGACCCGCAGCGGGTGGTTGCAGCAGCTCTCGAGCTCTCGCAGGAAGTACTGGCTGTGGAAATCGTAGAGTTTCTCCAGGTTCCCAAAAATGACGCTGCGCTTCCCACGCAGGTCCTGGGGGAGGTCGAGGCGCTCCATCTCGGGGAAGTAGCTGTCGATGATGTAGCAAAGCGACCTCACGTATTCCCGCTCCGTGGTTACCATCTCATCGATGATGTGCCGCAGCTTGCTGCAATAGGAAACACTCAGCCTTGAAGGGAGAACTCACAGCAGAACTCACAATAACTTCTGTGAGGAGGAGCCAGCCCGATGACAGGATGCTGTGGGAGGCATTGGTAATCCTGGGAGAACAAGAGCTCTGGACCCAGGCGCTGTTGGGCTTGTCCCAGTGAAAATGAGAGCGGGAAACAAACCTCGTATCACTTCATCAGCAAAGCAGTTCCCAGCACGGGTTGCTGCGATCTGAAGGGATCGCTCTTAGGTACTCAAGGTTTCCACTGCGAGGCAGTGCAGCACCACACGTAACTGCTCCAAACGTGTGCTTGCCTTCCCTGCCGCTCAGCCTTGGCTGAGGGCCCAGCAGCAGGACTGCCTCAGCGCCCACGGACCGGAGGGCTGCTGCATCTCCCCCTTGAGAAGCGAAGCAGTTAGCCTCCTATCTGCCCGTCTCCATCCCCTGCCACGAGCCTTCCTGACACGTGCTAGCGTAACAGAGGCCCTTTACAGGAGATTCCACTACCCCCAGCCATCCCATCCAGAGCAGAAACAGTGAAAGAGCTCTGTGGTCCCCTCCAGCACTCATTTCTCATCTCTGCCACCAATTCTTTCTTTTTTTAAAATCTTTTCCAGTGAAAGCAGCAGAAAGACCTGCCCAGTAACCCCTGTTCGAGAACAGCTCGCATCCCTGGGCTCTCCATAACCTGGGCACGTTGCAGTACGACACCAAAGTTAAGCTGAGAACCTCAAGGACAGAGAGGGAAAGGAAGAGAAAGCCAGCTGTTGGTCACCCAGAGATCTAAGCCCCAAAGGGCAAATACAAACACGCTCTTACAAAAATACAAAAAACCTCTGCGAGGTTGCTGTCACAGGGTACTGGAAGTGCCTCCCCACCAGTCTGGGTACAGCACCCCCCAAAAGTGTGCGGAATGGTGCACCATGCTTCTGCTCTCCCACTGCACCCGTACCACTGGTTTGCTAGGTCCCCAGATACTACGTTTCTGCAATGCTCAGAGACTCTCTCTCCTGCCTGGGATCTGCTCTTTCTCCTCTCAGGGAGGCAACACGCTCTGGGGGAAGAGCAACAGATCCCATTTCCCTGCCTCCCCCCAGAGGCAGGTGCCAGGCTGTGTGTGGACATCCCTGCGAGCCCGCTCAGCACCACACACACGCGTGCAGGAAAGCTGGAGCTACACCTCCGTCCATCCAGCCTGCACCCATTGCCAAAGCAACCGTCACTGCAGAGCTCTTTGCATCTTTGCTGGCTGCCTTTCTACCAGCCTGAGGTCCGGAGCACCGAGTGTCACAGCCACTTACCTGCCCCAGCTCTTGGCTTCCGAGGCCGAGAGGCAGCCCCTCTGTCCCTCCAGCAGGCAGTCTGCAGCCCAGCTGTGAGCGGCTTGCTGCCGCAGCGCAAAAGTCCTGTCCACCAGCTCAGTGCTGCTCACCTCCAGCCCCTTAATAAAGACGCCGGTGTTGCCGTATCTGGCCGGCTCGCTCAGCGTCCTCTGGCAGCCTGACCACAGGCTCTCACCGCAAGGGAGGTCAAAGCTCTGGGCCTTCCGGAGCATCCTCCTGGGAGGCAGCTTCCCAGAGGCTGGAGTGGATGTGCAGGATGGCTTCACCTCCAAAGTTTCTAATATGCTCTCCAGGTTTGGCTTTTCTTCAGGCAGCTTTGGAGACTTGGAGGCCCCGCTGGCAAAAGAAACTCTGCTCGAGTGAGGACCTGAGCTCAGAGCAGCTTGGCAGGCAAATTCTTCCCCAGCACTGACATCACCAGGGCAGCTCAGGGAGGGCGAGGGAGCTTTCTCCTTAGTCCACCCCGGAGAGCAGTTGGACCTGTTGTAGCAGTGGCTGTAAGTCCTGTCCCAGGGGGACCCGGAGGTGGCCCCCTCGGAGTGTCTCCAGTGGGACAGGCTGCCAGCCTCGCTGCCGGCCCGGGGCTGCTCCCCGGCAGCTGGTTTGCGGTCTGACAGCAGAGACCTCCTTGTTCTCAAGGCTGCTTCGAGTTTCTTTTCGAAAACCAGCTTGGTCTCCTGGCATTTGGACCACGCAAATTTCCACTGCTTGAGTCCCTTGTCACTCTTCAGCTCACAAGCCAGCTCCTTCATCTCCTGGAAGCGGGCATCGCTGATGTCCGGGTGCTGCCCCTTGTAACTCTCCAGGCACTTGATCACACCTGCGCAGTGTTCAGCAGAGCTGCAGTCCTCCATGCTGATGCAGGCAAGGTGTCGCATCCCTTCCAAGGCCCACTCGTACGCCTGCAGAGCGTGAGAACAAAAGGCAGCAGCCAGTCAGAGGGATTCGGGAAAGAATAACCCTAATTCAGTGCCTGAAGACAAGAGAAAGGATCAGTGTGTGGCCACCACAGTTCCTCAAGTGTGAGAGGAAGGGGGGGGCTGCTATTTGTCAATGGGGCTTAACAATTCAGCAAAACAAACAGCTCCTTATGCAGAGGACTTCAGCTGTGCTGGCTGCTCTGCCACAGCTCCACCTCCCCGCCAGGTCCCTGTGGCACTGGGCACCCACGCTGATGGGCACATTTGTCTTCTCTGGGCCGGGGGGCCCAGGGGAAGCTGCTGCCAAGACTGCAGAAATTCACACCTCAGTGGGGCCCTGCTCGGTATAAAACCTGGAACTCACCCTACTCCTTTGCCCAACCATTCTCACCACTATCATGCAGGATGAGGTCGAGGGGGCATCAGTAAAGTGCAGGGAATTGGATTGCTGCTCCCCACACCGTCTCCCTGGAGATGACAGCACACAGAGGCCTGGAGCTCGATCAGAGCTGGGCTCTGCAATCACCCCGAATGCTCTGACCCGTCCTTGCAGCAAGTAGGAATCCGAGACCACGCAAGCCCAGTTGCAGCTTGTGCATTTTCCGTGCCTGCTGGCACCCGCGTGGTGTGCTGTGCCCTGCCTGCTACTGCACTACGTGCTTGCGCTGGTTAGGTCCAATACTGAGCTCAGCAGTTGATTTCTAATACTCCAGGAATGCTGGGAGCAGCTTCACGAGGCTTAACTCTAGCAGTGGTACATATGCTGGCCTTGCTAAAACAGCTCTGACGTATTGGTCAAACAAGAGGAGCAGGACAAAACGTGGTCCAGTGTGACAGATGCAAGGTAAAAGTGCCTTACCACCACGGCAGAAAAGGGGCTAGTGAAGCACCATGCACTAATGACCATGTTTGTCATTGATAAAAATGAGAGGAAAACCAAACATCTGAATTACTCAGGCTCATAACCCACTACTTTCTCTATAAAGAAGGGATGATGACAATGTTTAACTATAGAGTGAATAAGATGTGACCAGCTAGAATAGGCCTGGCCAGGGAACTTTACAGTTCAACAGTGAAAACACAGTTATTTGTTAAAATCAGATGCACGAGGAAGGGAAAACGTCCAACACAGGGCTGCCTGGCACCTTCCACCCAAGACCTGTGGACACTGCAGGCTGCCCTTGAAATGAGCTAGATCATCTCTAGCACTTGCTCTGTCAGGCCCTGCGTACCTGCTCTGTTTCTGCAGAGAAGCAACACTCACAATTAGTGCCAGGAACAAAGTGACCAGTCTTAGACCATTTCCCACCTGCTGAACAGCCTCACTGTGACAGCCTTTGCTCAGAGAGCTTAAAGCACTTATTTTTATGCAGAATAGAGCCTCAGACACCAAGAAAATCCACCCAAGCTTTTTGGAGCAGACACTGCATCCCCATCAGGGACGTGGTAGTCAAACAGATCAGGTGTCAGGCTCACTCTCTGTTGGTGACAGAGGTAGGCAGGGCAGGAGGTGCTTCATTCACACGGTGCTCAGCTAGGGACAGCTAGGAGAGCCAAGTGCTGCTGTTTGTACAAGAGCTGAATGCCAGCACACGAAGGGTAGCCTGCAGACTGAGCAGAGTCACTCCAAGGACAGATTCCACAGAAGCTCCCACAGCCATCCACACTGCTCTTTTGAGCTGCAGCTGCATGGCGTGCGTGCAGCCAGCCCCATTACTCATGCAGAGCAAGGAGCTGCTTCAGAAACACCAGCAGCTGCTCGGGGAAAACGCTTCTCAAACAGCCTCCCGTGCAAGCACAGCAAGGGGCAGTCAAAAGAGCAGCAGTCCCCTCTCCTCCCATCACCCTGCCTAGCGCAGCAACAGGCCCCTGACCTGCCTCTCTCTTGATCCAGGCTTTATGCTCCAGACTTGCCCACTGCTGGGGGCCGGGAGAGGCGTGCAGCAGCAGAGGACGTGCCTGGTGAGAATCTGCATTTATCCATGATGCAGAGGGTCTTTTCTTCCCTGGAGGCAGAAGCACATCAAGGCGAGGTGAAATGCTGAGTGCAGCAGAGCCCAGCAGATCCACACGACGGTGACAGATGGCCTATTTTGCTAGGGTTTTTTTTTTTGAGCTACTCCCTCCAGCTGTACACAAACGAACACCAGCCCCTTCCAGCTCTGCCCTGAGCAAGGGCTGGCTGGCAGTGTGGGGTGAGGGCACGTCTCGCCTCTCTGGCTGTGGAGGTCAATGGGTGATCCTGACCAAAGACTGCATGCTGGCTCCCTTTCTGCTCACTGATAGGAAAAAAGCACATGGGGCTCTGAAAGAGGGTGCTGAGAGCGATGTGCAGGAGAGGTACATACAGCCAGCAGGCCAGCCTGGCATTTACAGCAGCCACTTGGAAAGGCAGCTGCCCCGGGGAGGCTTTCTCCGAGGCTGAGGACCCCACTTCCGTGCACAGATGGGAGAAAGAGAGAGAAAAAAGGCTTCTTATTTCTAAGAAACTCCACAGATCTGCATGGGGCCACAGCCGGGAGCAATCAGGGTGGCAAACCACATGGGGAGGCAGCCTGCCACCTCTCATCTTCATATGGTAGCTGTCTGTTCTTGGTGAGGGCTCCAAGGGCTGGGCAGAAACGACTCTAAATCTTGATGGCGTTTCTTCCATCCCCAGTGCCTGTTGCAGGCCAGTGAATAACTCAGCTTTGTTCCCTTCACAATGGGAGCAGCCCTTCGCACCCTGGAGCTTGTTTGGGAACATGCTAAGTGGCCACCAAGGCTTTCTCCAGTCACATCATCCGCTTCAACTGCCCCTTTTAGCACATGAAATGGCAGCCCTCTCCAGGGACCAGGTGTGCCCTGGCACTCAGGAGGGAACACTCTCATGCAGGCAGGGGTATTGCTGTCAACCGTGTCCCCCCCGTAAGGTTGCAAACCACGCTCAGCCCAGCCAGGATACTGCCCTCCAGCTTCTCTGCAAAACTGCAAGAGCTGCTCATGTGTAAGAGGTGGCATCTGTGTGAAGGGAAGCTGAATCTTCCCAACCATGTCTGGAACCAGGCAGGAAGGAGCCTGTAGCTCAGCTTTTGATCTTTACAGACAAGTCGTTACTGAAACTCTCAATTAGAGGATTAAAGATGTATGCTTCCTGCATACGCAGGGCTGACCTATCCAGCAGCTTCATGAGGAGTCAGCAACAGGTTGGTCCTGTCAGGTTGCCCTGAGGAGGAAGGGGCTCTTGGGGACCTGCTGTGCCCTAACGAAGAGCCAGGGACTTCACTGGAGCACGGTGCAACCCTCAAGCCCATCACCCTGCGTTGGTCCTTGCTCATTTCACCATGGGCAAGACTACAGTGAATCAAGGACAGAAGCTCCTGGAGCCTGTTCTCTTTGGCACCACAGAAGTGCCATCTGCACATACAGGCCAAGGGAAGCTGCTTCATCCTGGCTCAGAGCACGTTGCCAGCACTGCACAGAAAGCCTTCCAGGGGTCCCAGATCCTCACCTGAGCCACCACTCAGATACTACACCTCCCCAGCCCAAACCTACCACAAACCCACCAGACTCCTCTCAAGGTCCAGTGATCTCTAAGACACCTTCTCTGTAGGCAAGACAGGAGACAGACACTGTGCATCTGCAGACATATGCCAGAAAGGGCAATTTCAAGGGGGCCCACCTTTGTCCAAACCTCTTTCTTCCTGTGAGGAGACAATTATAACTGTATTTTTCTTGTCACATTGGAAAGTGGGTGCCAGAATAGGCAGAGGTAGGTGCAGTAGGCAGATTACAAACCCTCCAACTTTCTGCAAAGGAAAATGCACCTAGGTGGGTGGCTAAATCTGCTGTGAGAGGGTTTCCTTCTGAATCCAGATTGACTGCACAGGGGAGCCGAGATAGGGGTGATGAAAAGCCAAGGCTGATCCCTGATGGGAGCAATAACACAGGCAGGGATGCAGTACAGCTGTGGCTATGACTGAAGCACAGCCACAAGACAGACCAAGCCCACCCATCCTTCTGTGGAGATGTCCCAGGACTGCAAGCAACCCACTCCCTTGCTTTCTACAACACAGAGAGAGGGAAGCAGCACAACCGCTGGGAACATTGGCAAAGACAGCGAAAAAAACAAACGACAAAATTCAACAAATCCTGATCATGCTTTCGTGCTTCACTCCTGTATGCAAGCTCTGCTCCGCTCTGCTGTTTGTTAATGAGACACAACTAATTGCAGGTCTTTTGTGGCAAGAAACAACTGCACAACTCCCCATTTAACAAGACCTCGCCTCACCACCATGGTCACTCTAAGTGCCCTTAACTTCAGCCGTGAGTTTAGGGAGCAAGATGAGGCTGGCTTGCAGCAAAGGAGATAGAACTGCTGCAGCCAGAAAAGGTGAAAGCATCACAGGTACCGTTGTGAACTTCCCAACAGCTACACATGGTGCCACGTAGGCGCCGACTCCCGCAGCTGCCCTGCTCTGCCGGCAGCCCGAGGTCTTGGCACTGAACCCTGCAGAGTTGAGACGCCAGTTGCAGCACAAGAATAAAGAGTGACAGGGCACTTAACAGAACACAAGTCCAAAGTAAATGCTGCTTTTCTGCATGAAAATGCCTGCGCCCAGGTGTGCTCCTCTCATTACAGATGCTCATTTGGGCTTATTCCCCTCCGAAGTCCAAGATGGCTTTAGGCTGCTTTGAGAACTGACTCCTGCTCACAACACTGATGTGTCCCTTGTCACAGGCTGCTGTACGCACAGCACTAGCTGTGGCTAGAGACCGCCTTGTACGCTGACAGTTCAGAAGGACCACAGTTAAAAAGGCCATTTTACATCAAAATATATTGAAAGCAAAGTTATCCGGGCTAAAGCCTTACTGTCGCAAGAGTTATCAGCTGGCAAACACCAACAAGCCTGTTTTTCTGCTAACTCAGACACCAGGTAGCTGTAGCAGAAAGTGGTCTCGCATGGATCTGCTTCGTGCTTTCCTCAGGCTCCCCCCCACCA